TTCATCTAAATTATAAAAACTATCATTAAATAAACAAGCATTTTATCCCTGTATATTTATTGGACAAATATGACATTTAAAAAATGTTTTTGTTTTCTCTTAACATGACTTGTTGACAAATAATGCCACATCACCACATGTGACATGTGAAGATGAACGCTACAAATACACATCAACCTCTTTTCTATTGATCAACTTGTTCTAAATAATACATTTTTTTAACATTTGGTGTCTGCATTGGATTTATGTATTATTCACAAAACCAATTTCTAGTTTGCCGTATTCAAATACGATAATCCAGTAATTCGTTTTTTAACATTCGTTTCACCATAGTTATTGAAAAACGACTCTTCTCTTAATCAATCTTAAATTTTCATAATTTTAAGAAATGGCAAGGAAGATTGGGACATGGATAACGTATGACTTATGGGCCATAAAAAAAATATGTTTATATTATCCATTTATCCTAGTTAAGCCTATTACTTCAATATGGGCCTACTATTCATTTAAAGTACCCCATTAGACCATTATGAGTTTAGCAATATTAGTGGTGAATCGAGCTAAAACCACTTTAGAAAAACAAAGTGATATTGGACCAGTCAGATCCGATTTGATCTTAAGTTGGTCTCGGTTCGGGCCGGTAAAAAAAAGGATCGAAGTTGCCTTGTATGATCATGAGTAAAACCTGTTACCATTGTGCCAACCCCATTGGTATTTATTTGTAGTTAAGGATTATCATAGATTTGTACAAGTGTAATTCTTAAAATGTATTCTTATTTACTTGTCTACAAATTTAGAATAACATGACCAATATTTTAAATTGGAAAACAATACATATGAATTTGTAATGTTTCATTTATTACTTTATATACCGTAGTCAATGTGTGTGGCTTGATGTCCGAATCCGAATGGTCGTTTTTAAAAATTCTTTTAAACCATTAACATTTTGTATGGTTAAGGTTTACGGTCACAATGACCAGTGTATTGAAAAAACCAGACTAGAAAAAGGTCGAGACTGAGACCAAATCGAGACCAATTTTGTTAGAGTCGATGTCTAATCCTTAAGGCTAGTGAAATTGGGTTTTCTTTTCATATTTTATACATTGCAGCTTAGCATATTTTTTGTATTTTATAAATCTATTTATGAGTATTATAAAGTTTTGTTGTATCTGGGCGCAAAGCAAATACCCGTTGCTCCCATAAAAATCTGCTAATCTCCGTAAAAGTGGTTTTGCTCGTCTCCAAACCATATATAGTTCCTAAACCACTACTTCAATTAATATTAGCTTACAACCCATGAAAACCACGAGTAAAAAAGATTTATAAAATTTTATTAAACTAATAAGATATAAGTTTTTTTTTAGATTTTTATAGTGATTATTTAAAATTATTACATATTTTTTTTAATATCGATATGTTTTATGTATGTGAATAGATTTAATAAAATTATGATTTATATACCATAATATAAATTTGATTGAACACAATAAGACACAAAAGACATATAAACAATGAGAGTAAGGTCACTAAAGAAATTGTAAACACTACATGTAAGGTCACTAAAGAAATTTGTGAGCTGCATTTTTTGAGTAGCACAATTTGGTTTATAAACATGGATTCTAATGTTAGACTTTTGTGAATGGTAGACCAAGTTCTATTCAATCCACATTTTTTTATTAGTAGGATATGATTTATATCCTCCAGTCAAAATAATTATAGCAAAAACAATAAACAAAGGAAACTTATTGAAATGCGAAACATAAACATTAAATATTGAGAAATACTTTATTTATTTATTTATTTTTTTTTTTTTTTGTCAATTTTAATGTATAACGAGTGAGATGACAAACGGGCAATAATATGCACCGCTAAGTCTTTTTGTATGATACAGTTAATTCATTTGAAGACTACATTCATAGATCTAAGGATATAACATTGTTATGCATGATTCGTTGTACTTTATTAAGAATCTTCATCGCATCTGGCATGAAGAAACTAAACGTATCAATTGCAAATTGTATGAAAACGTGTTTTTTTTATGCACGATTTTTCATTTGGTGATTTTGCATGTAGCAGCATTTAAAGCAGTATGTCCTGCCGTAAAACCCTCAGCCCTCAAGCCCACAAGAAGGGATACCCCTGTAAGGTCCACACATGCATGTTTCCATCCATCACATTGAAAAATCAAAATGTCGACTAACACAAACAGGAACATGTTAACACAAACAGGTAATTTCATGAAATCTCAATTGCAACGGGAGCATGTTAACACAAACAGGTAACATAGAAAAACATACATAAACACAATACAATCTCCAAATTTATCAAAATAATTTACCTTACAAATCTTGATCATTTCTACAAGCTTATTTAAATTTTGAATGTTTTAGCCAACCTTTTTGCCAATATATACTTGTTTAAAATATTTTTATTACAATTATTATCTATGTTTCGTTAATTTACCAACTATATATTATACGGGTTATAACCTACTTTATAATTAAAAATTAAAAAGTTAATATAATTCGTAGTACTAATTACATAGTAGTGTGGAAATAATAAAAATAAAAACTTAAATAAAAGGACTAAGTTTTGGGCCCAAACTAGACCCATTATCCAGATTGCATATGAGGCTTAATTGAGAAGGCTTTCACTTTTAAGTAAGTTCGGATTTGAAGAACCAACTAAAAAACCAAACCTTTTTGGTAATAGACTTTATGCATATCTATGACGACATCAAAAAGAATACACTAAAAAAAGGTTATTCCTAAAAAAACAATGATGACAGTATCAAGATGATCTGATTTAAAAAATTTTAAAATGTTATCCTTCTAATAATCCCTAATAATCGATGAGTTGCTTGATGTTACCAAGCTGGCAAGCTCTCCCCTAGTGCTCGTTGTCTATTATCATAGTTTGTCAAAAATTAACGATTTTACCTTGAATACGAACTTATACGTGGCAAAGCGAAATTGTTGGAAAGCTTTTTGTCAAAATACATTTTATTAGGTAATCCCATACTTGTAAGATAATGACTTCTTTGATTACTTAAAAGACAATTACATAACAATGTATAAAAAATACTTAGGTTTGGACCTAAATCCTAATCACTAACATCCCACTACAGTTTAGATCGGGTGGAGACGATTAAAATAAAGAAGTAAACAAAACATATAAACACAGATGTAGACAACAGCATCAGCGATGGTAGGGCTCTAACGATGGCGGCTAACAACGACTTTTCGTCGAAGAAGAGGTGAGAAGAAGCGGCGGCCAGAAGCGGTTCTATTGTAGAAGAAGAAGAGAGCCGATGAAGGCGACGATTGAGGAGTCCGAAGAAAGGTAACGAGAAAGAAAGAGAGTTCTAGTTACGGCAGACGGAGCCAATGTCGTCGATATTGGCGACCACAATGTTGATATAGAGACGATTACAAATCAAAGGCTTCCCGATGGATAAGGTGTTGTCAGAGGGAGGCAACAACAACATTGGAAGAGGCGAGCCAAAACGAGGGGCAATCTGACGAGGAGACAGAATGCTCAAAGGTAGGGTCCATCTGAGGATGAGATAGAAGGCTCGAAGGTAGCGGTCATCCAAGGTCCATTTGAGGATGAGATAGAAGGCTCAAATGTAAGGGTCATCCAAGGAGGAGATAGAAGTACACGAAACAGTAGAAGAAGCCAAGGAAGGAACTCTAGTTTGGGGCCGACGACTATATTATTATTTATGCGAATAAAGACGAAAGAGAAAAATATTAAACCTAATTAAACCCAATTTCGTTTCTTTATTTTCAAAACATTCGATTCCCCTCTACTTATTATAAAAAAGGAATTTGAATTCGTTTTTGATAAATTTCTGTTTTAATATGAAATATCCCATAAAATCAAGAATGATTTATGAAAAGATCAACATGAAATTAGAAATTTCAAAATTGATAGTCGAATCTCTCACTAAAATGTCAATATACTATCTAAATATTATTTGTTTTACGATTTATTAGTTTATATATATATATATATATATATATATATATATATATATATATATATATATATATATATATATATTATTGTTTATTTTTAGTATGTTATTTGCTATGTATTATTTTGTTATTTAAATTGTCAAGATAAAACACATGTATTAAGGTAGTAAACTATTATCGTTATTATAGAGTTAATTGGATTTTGTATAATTATCCTTTACTATTATACAATAATTGCTTTTAGACAAAATTGTAAGAATGATCTCTATGATATGTCAAAACTCTGTGTTTGGATCAAAAAGTTTGAACTCAAAACTCTGTGGTTCAATTTGTTTTAAACTTTTTCAAAATGATGAATTTATCATTTATATTTTCATTTTTTATTTTTTGTTTAATTTAACATTTATCTAAATTTAAAATATCACCCCACCCCTACCTATTACTAACCCACCCACCCATTCTCACTCCTAAAACTCCATCTCCCTCTTCATACTGTAAGAGAGAACCAACGTCAACATTTGTCTCTTACGTCAACTTCGTCTATACATCACCGGCGAGAACGAGGTGAAGAAAAAATTAACGAACTCCATTTGTGAAGGGGTGAAGCGAGAACGAAGATTACGGAACAACCAAACCAATTATGACGACGTAAAAGACCATCGGAGTCTTCCTTCTCCGGCTTAGACAATCAGTTTGTTGCCATAGAAAGGGTGTTAGTTGACAGAGGTAACAAATCCATTGACGTCATCATCTGTAACCCAAGTGACAAAGAGAAAGAGAAAAGTGTCATTGTTGGATCTGCAAACCTTAACAACTTGTTCAGATCTAAAACTAGGGCTGTTCCAAACATATTTTGGACCCAGGGCGAGAGAAAAAATGATCCTTTAAAAAAACAAATGTCATCAAGTTTTTTATAATAAATCAATAATTAAAAGAAAATTATTTGTACTATCTTCTAAATATAATAATTTCCATAAAAAATTTGGGTCCCCTTAAAAGACGGGCCTGTCTAAAACCTCCATGGGAGGAGGTAGATCCGACTTTAGGATCTTCAAATCGAAGGGGAACAGATCCGAAGAGAAGATGACGAATCTTCATGTCGATTTTCAAATCTGGAAGTCGCCGTTGGTAATGTTTAAAGATCAGTGGAGAGTTTTCGGCCGGGGATCGGCGATGGTACACCGATGGCTTCCTAGCTGGTCAATTTTCCGAGAGAGAGAGAGAGAGAGAGAGAGAGAGAGAGAGAGATTATGGGGAAATGGTGTATTGTGTCTGATTCTTCTAGTTTATGAGAAAGAGAGAAATGTATTTTATTTTTGTTTTATTTTTATTTTTTATTATTGTAATAAAAGAAAAATAAAAAATAAAATAATAAGTGACAAATTCATTATTATAAAAAATTTCAAAAATTTTAGACCAAATTTACATCAAGACCAATGGTACAAGAGTAAACTTTTTTTTGTCCAAAGATACGAATTTTGACGTACGCACCATTAGTTGGTATATATATATATATATATATATATATATATATATATATATATATATATATATATATATATATATATATATATATATATTTACTATCTTATAAAAAGAAATCTAATTATTTCTATAAATAGATTGATTATAATAATAATATTTTTTAAGACGTCCAAATGATGAAGCTGATAGTACAAGTAACCATTAATAAAATAATATTAAATTTTAACCAAATTTTGAATTCAAATATTTATCATCAAATCTCTTTATATTTCTCAGCAATTTGATATGGTTCCCTCAAATTTCGTATTCATTCAAATTTTGAACCCTTTTAGATATCCTTAAATTTAGCATGTTGATTCAAATATCCATCCAATCACATATACCTCTTTGTTTCCTCCTCTGCTATAAAGTCTACCGTCCAGGAACAAAAAATAACTTCATCTCCCAAATAACACCATAGTTTGATTATTTTGTCTTCGACATGTACTTTCTTTTGTAACATAACATTTTTATAGAGGAAACATATCATCGAAAGAATTTACATGCCCCGCCGCTTTGCGCGGGTACACTGCTAGTATATATATATATATATATATATATATATATATATATATATATATATATATATATATATATATATATATATATATATATACACGATTTGATGGGTCCAAAGGAATTACTCTTCCTACACTTTTTATTTTCAGTATCACATTAACACATGAACATGAAAGCATTAGTAATCGTGGCTTCCATGAACTTTTCTCAATCTCCTTATTCAATTCTCCTTTTCCACTGAATTCTAACAAAACAAATCCTAATTTCCCTCTCCTCTATCACAATCTCTCATTTGCTTTATCAAATTCTCTGCATTGTGTCAAGGTAGAGATGACAATTCTTTACACGCTGGTGGCGAGAGGATCTGTTCTGTTGGCGGAATTCAGTGGTACGTCGACCAACGCGAGCACCATCGCCAGACAAATTCTCGAGAAAATCCCCGGAAACAATGATATGAATGTTTCGTATTCGCAAGATCGGTATATTTTTCACGTTAAACGGACTGATGGCCTCACTATTCTCTGTATGGCCGATGATGATGCCGGAAGTAAGCTAATAATAACAGCTCTGTTCTTATTGTTTGCTTAAAATTCGTTCTATTATTATAAGATCGATTCATTTCCATTAGATGAATTTGTGATCATATTGTATGATTTGAGCCGAAGATCAGGTCTCGCTATTCTGTCGACAGTAATTCAATTTGAAACTTGCATATCTGATTTGATTTTGATAATCTAGGGTTCTTCGAGCAGCATTGTTGCCTTATGAAGGTCGTTTATGTTTATAATTTGAAATTTGAATCCAGTTCCTTCCACACAGGGATTCGTAGATCCATAAAATCCAATACTTCATATCGACATATAATATCAGTGATCAAATACACATTCAATCATTTCACTTCTACTCTTTTTCAATTTCAAGTTCATTAAAACAACTAGTCGATTGCGCCATTAATGGTTGGCAGAATATGATCAATAGCGGCAATATCTATATTTTACAGGACGAATTCCTTTTACATTTCTTGAAGAGATTCATCAGAGATTCGTTAGAACATATGGTCGAGCAGTTCTAACAGCCCAAGCTTATGAAATGAATGATGAGTTTTCTAGGGTTTTGAGCCAACAAATGGAGTATTACTCCAGTGATCCCAATGCAGACAGGATAAACCGTTTAAAAGGTGAAATGAGTCAGGTGAGTTTCCTTAACTTAACATTCCAATACTTTTGTTAAATCAATTTTTGTAAAGTAAATACCTAAAGATGAAATTGTATGCTTTTATAAACAGGTAAGAAGTGTAATGATTCAAAATATTGACAAAGTTCTTGAGAGGGGTGATCGATTGGAAACACTTGTTGATAAAACTGCAAATATGCAAACGAATACTTTTCGATTCAGAAAGCAGTCTAGAAGATTCAGGAATACAATGTGGTGGAAAAATGTCAAACTTATGTATATCCTCTAACCTATATACATTTTATCTTTATAGATTATTGAGCTAATAATAATTAATGGACTTTAAATGTAGGGTTGCTATGGTAATTCTTCTCCTGGTGATAGTGTACATTGTTCTGGCATTTGTTTGCAAGGGGTTTGCACTTCCAGCTTGTCTATGATGAAAACCGGAAACAAATGGGAAATTTGGTTTATTAGGGTTTTTGAATTCGAAGCCTTCGAAAAAAAATTCTTGCATTTTTTTGACATTCTTTTATGGTAATTTGATAAGTTTTTTGTATCGAGTTGTTTTGTTATATGAGGAATAATAAGTTTACAATTCCACATAGATAAGTTTTTCACTAAGTGAGTAAAACATACTTGCTTAAATATTGAAAAAAACTTAGAAGGATTAGTCACTTTTTTGTCTTTGTCTCTAAATTCTTTTTGGTTTAAGATTAGTTTTCTAGTCTATATTAAATTGATCTGTGTATTAGGATTTATTTAGTTTTCATTATTTTGAAAGAGTTTGATGATATGATATGATATCACTTCCCCTGCAAAGTAGATGTTTTTCCATCAATTTTGTATTCGTTAATAAATGAATAATGAATGTGCCAAGTTCGACTACATGAGATATTGGGAACAATCAGTTTTCTTTTTTTTTTAAAATATATACTCATATAATCATACATGTGCACCAAAAGAAAATTGTATATTTCATCGGATTAAGAAACATAATAACATTAGTTGTTTAGTGTTTTATAGAATGGAGAGATAATAATAATATTGTGTAACCAACTAATCCAGTTAAGTTTATTTTTAATGTTTTTATTACATAACAAAAACAAAGACCTAGATATCATTTTATCAAATTAATAATATGTTCTAAAACACCATATGAGTTTTGTTTGTGTATAATTATATAATGATTGATGATGTATTTATGTTTGTTGTATGTTAGACCAAGTTGGTTGTTGATATCGATTAATTTATCTATATATATGCATATACTAAATGGGATTTATATAGACACATATATGAAGAAAACGTTGCGCTTTATTTGAACATCGGGATAATGATTTAAAAGGGTAACTTATTTTTGGATTTGTACATATTTAGTCATTGGGTTTTTTTTTAATCCATATTTTTCCATTGTAGTGGTTAAACCATTTAAAAAACATCTTTATGACCTTCAATCGTAGGTTTAGCCGGTTTCCGGCATGTTTGACAACTCCAACGATTCTTCGCTTATCTTCTTCAGCAAGACTCTGACTTTCATGATTTTTCTGACGATATGAAACAGAGTTCAAATTAGAATCGAGTTTTGGGATTTTTGAGTTTCATTTTAAGAACACGAAATTGGTCTAATGGTTTTGAAATCAGAGTGTTGTTCCAGATCTGATGTTCATCATCTTCAACCTCCAACCCATATCTAACATTTATCGTCTTCAACCTAAATCTGATGCTCGAAGCTACCCTTGAAAGCCAAACGAGCTCCAAAAGTGTATGTTTGTCTATATTTGTTCATGCTCTAACATCATATCTGAAATCAAATGATCTCCAAGAACAAAGAAGAAATTGATTTTGTGTGTTTTGGGTTCCATGAAGATGAACACACTCACATGTGGTGGTTTTCCAAAATTGAGGTTGAAGATGAACTAGAGTTAGGGTTTTCAAACCATAAATCAAGTTTGAAGATATGTGTAACACTGAAATTTTCAAACAAAATTTTCGATTTTTATAAAAGCATAATTCCATCAATATTCATAGAAACAACCCCTTTTTAATTGTTCAACAATATATTACAAAATCCCAAGATCAAAATGTCAAGCTCCAAACGTGTGTGTACGGATCAAGCCGGCGCCTTCCCACGGTCGTCACTAGTACCTGAAACAAATAACATCAACACTGTAAGCACAAGGCTTAGTGAGTTCCCAAAATACTACATATAACACATATTAGCCACTCGAGGCTATAACTCTGTGGGTCCGTGCACCCAAACTCTGTGAACCCTCAGGTTCTAACTCTGTGAACCTTCCGGTTCTAGCTCTGTAAACATGCACAGCATCAAACACATAAAAGTAATGCAGCACAACACATAACATACATGGCATACAAATACTCTAACACATAACTCTGGTTACCTACTCAAGGTAAAGTATAGTGAGAAGACTCACCTCGTGTGTCTCGGTAAATCGAACCCTGAAATCACTAAACACTCGATCCGCCGAGCTGAAGTCCCCCTATAGCACAATATATCTCTAATTAACACTTTCTCAACTAGGGTTGACCATACCATAACAGGACAATCTAGGTCAACGCTGGTCAACGGTCAACTTGACCGGACTCGGCGAGTGCACTATAGCGACTCGGCGAGTCTGAGCGCAATCACCAATTTCCTTGAAACCCTCTCTTGACACGTCGAGCATCCCTTCCCAACTCGACGAGCTCCACCTGGCACGAGTTGTGGGGCCACCACGACTCAACTCGCCGAGTCTCAAGAACGACTCGGCGAGTCCGGTTTGACTCGGTCCACCTGTCCATCCTGACTCCCCCTTGACCCACTGAGTTCACTCATCCCAACTCGGCGAGGCCACTCGCTGAGTGGTCGTGCAACATTCAAGCTACTCGCCGAGTCTGTTCTTCGGACTCGGCGAGTCCGTGCCATGCACTGACTCAATCTTGCTCTAAAGGCCAGATCCAGTCCCCCCATGCTTATTTAGCACGTAAAGTCACAATCTTGATGCATAAATAACCTCTACATGATCACAAATGATGATTTTGACTCTATTACTTCAACACAAGGCCAAGGACTCCATTTTCACCCATAAAGCTTGATGAGTGAGGCCCTATGGACCTCTATGGATCCAGATCCATGGTCTCAACTCAAAGAGGGAACAAAAGGGCACCAAATCACCCCATAAATGATCATATTAAGCCCTAACTTGCATCAAGTTTCACCAAACAGGAAATGGTCCGAAAATAATACCTCTAGAGTGATGATCCAAGCTCCAAATCCACGAAATAGCAACCTCCTTTGCTTCCTCTTGCCTAGAGCCTCCTTCTTCTTGCTAAACAACACTCACAAGGTCAAGATTTGCTCTCAATCCTTCACCAAACGCTCAAGAACTCTAGGGACACACTCTGGGGGTTGGATGAGCGCAAATGACGGCCATAAGGCCCCTTAAATAGGCCACAAACCCGGGGATTTAGGGTTCCATAACACAGCGCAGACTCGCCGAGTCCATGCCCTGGACTCGCCGAGTCCAAGCGCGCATCTTCGCTCCATCCCGCGTCTCTACTCGGCGAGTCTGAGCCCCGACTCGCCGAGTCCCTCTTTCAAAATAACATAATTAAACTTTCATTATACCTGGTAAAAATCCGGATGTTACAACTCTCCCCCACTAGAACTGGACTTCGCCCTCGAAGTCCCGCTCTAAAACAGCTCCGGATGCTGCTCCCGCATCATATCCTCCGGCTCCCAGGTCATCTCTGATCCCTTCCGATGTTGCCACTGAACCAATACCAGAGGTACCTCCTTGTTCCTCAAAACCTTGATCTTCCGATCCCTAATAGCCACTGGTCTCTCCGCATAGTTCAGGCTTGCATCAACCTGAATATCCTCAAGTGGAACCACTACCGACTCATCGGCTATACATTTTCTCAACTGCGATACATGAAAAGTGTTGTGAATCTGTCCCAACTCTGCTGGTAACTCCAGCCGATAGGCTACCCGGCCCACCCTGGCGATCACCCGAAACGGGCCAATAAACCGGGGTCCCAATTTGCCCCTCTTCCTGAACCGGATCACTCCTTTCCAAGGAGAGACCTTCAGGAGAACAAAGTCGCCGACTTGAAATTCCAACTCGGACCGGCGCCTATCCGCGTAACTCTTCTGCCGGCTCTGAGCGGTCAATAACCTCTGCCTGACCAGCTGTATCTGCTCTGTCGTCTGATTCACGATCTCTGTACTGCCCATTACCCTTTGCCCAACCTCTCCCCAACATATGGGAGTCCGACACCTCCTACCATATAACAGCTCAAAGGGCGGCATACCAATGCTCGAATGATAGTTGTTATTGTAGGAAAACTCCGCTAGAGGCAAATACGAGTCCCAACTACCCCCAAAATCCAATACACAAGCTCGAAGCATGTCCTCGAGTGTCTGTATCGTCCGCTCACTCTGACCGTCGGTCTGGGGGTGGTATGCGGTACTAAAATGCAACTTAGTACCCAATTCCTCATGAAATTTCTTCCAAAAACGGGAAGTGAAACGCACATCGCGGTCTGAAATAATCGAGATCGGCACCCCATGCCGAGATACAACCTCCCTCACGTAAACCTCCGCCAACTTCTCTGCTGAAGAACTCTCACTGATGGCAAGAAAGTGAGCGCTCTTTGTCAATCTATCCACAATCACCCAAATTGCATCAACTCCTCTGGCAGTCCTCGGCAATTTGGTGATAAAGTCCATAGTGATCTGTTCCCACTTCCACTCGGGAACCTCCAATGGCTGCAACTTGCCATGCGGTCTCTGGTGTTCGGCCTTTACCCTTCGACAGGTCAAACACCTCTCGACAAACCATGCTACATCCCTCTTCATACAGGGCCACCAATACTCCTTCCTTAGATCCAAATACATCTTCGTGGCCCCGGGGTGGATCGAAAATTTCGATCTATGAGCCTCCTCCATCAATGTAGCACGGGTACCGCCCACAAACGGTACCCAGATCCTGCCCTGATAAGTCATAAGGCCTCGACTATCCGATACAAACTCAGAAACCATCCCAACAACCCGCTCTCTCTTCTGCATCTCCGGACGCACGGCCTCGGCCTGAGCCCCACGAATGGCGTCCAGAACTGGAGTTATCACGGTCAATCTCAAACATACATCTCGCAGGGGAGTACTCTCCGCCCTGCGGCTCAACGCGTCGGCTACCACATTAGCCTTGCCCGGGTGGTACAAGATCTCACAATCATAGTCCTTGACCACATCTAACCATCTCCTCTGCCGCATATTTAGGTTAGGCTGATCCATCAAGTACTTCAAACTCTTATGGTCCGTGTAAATCGTACAACGAACCCCATACAAGTAGTGCCGCCAAATCTTGAGGGCGAACACCACTGCCCCCAACTCCAAATCATGTGTGGGTACCTCGTCTCGTGAGGCTTCAACTGCCTCGATGCATAAGCTATCACATGACCCTTCTGCATCAATACCGCTCCCAATCCTAGGATCGATGCATCACAGAATACCACAAAACCTTCCATAC